AAAGTTTCTGCCTCAAACACAACAACTACAGAACAAACTCAGAGTGTTTTTGTCAATTAACTAACCAACCTGACAATCAGCTCATTGTTTGAGCTTTATAGAAGTCGGCACAGGTCTCAGGCAGGTAACGCTGCGACCGCTCACTCACTGAAATAAAAACAGGAAGATGAATACCACACGAACACACACACACACACACACACACACACACACATCACGTTGACTCACGTTCATTTCCTGCTCCTACTCTAAGCATTTGCGCTCACATTTACATCGTGGTGGTTTTATTTTGTGTCCTCAGTAGGAAAGTAAGTCCTCACGGTGAGAACATGTAAAGTCTTATGTCCACACAACACGAAGAATGCACACGCACAAACACACACAGCCTGCATCAGAGCTGAGGAAACCCGTAACTCAGTGTCAGTGTTTAAATACTCAGCACAAAGCAGCACTTAAACACAACATCACTGCCTTTTATAACATTTAATACCTTCTTCCTGCCTTCCTGTGTGCATGATGAAAAACGTATGTACACACACATGACAATCCTCCACATCATAGTGAGCAATACTTCTAAATATCACCATAAACCCCCCTTTGTGCTTCTGCTCGTACCTGTTTTTACTGCTCCTACTTCATATTTACATCACAGACAAGCACACTGGCTGTACCAGACTCCATCACTATAATAACAGTTTTCATTTCTTCTTCTTTGTTATTTTGGCAGTGCTGATCATCAATCACTCTGTGCACTTTTTATTGTTCAGTCTTCAGATGCATTAATAAAAAAACTTTCTGTGTTTAACCAGTTTACAGCGTGGTCACATGACGTTTCCAGCCAATTAAAATTCACCTCCATGCAGCCTGAAAAAGGATGTGATGTCAAATTTGTGATACAGGCAGTAACTATATATTGATCCAAGACTGTAACTGGCAATCCCACAAAGAGTAGCTGCCGTATGCAGCAGCAGGTGACCTTTGACCTATGAGCTCTAGTACCAGGTCTGGACCCCTCAAAACAGCTCTTTAATGCAACTTCCTCAAAAGTGGCCCTCACAGAGCCAGATACTACACTCACACATGCTCAGAGGTCAGCTGACTCTCACGAGACCTCTGACAGAGCAGCCACAGAGCGTCCTCTGTCCAAACGCCGCAGCAGAGGATTGTGGGAGCTCATGTAACATTCATGCAGCTCCGGCAAATGAACTGGGAACAACCCAGCAGAGAGTGGAGCGCCGTGAGAGGAAGACGACACCTTCAGGTGCCACTGTAAAAACCAGGGTTGTCGCTGTGTGGAAAGCCTGAAATTTACAGACAATAACCCCTCAGTTTACAAATCAAATAAATAAATCAGGGCGACACCGAGATAATGAGCCCAAAGCGAGACGGCAGAGAGCTCAGCAGCTCACGCTCAGCTGTGAGGAGAGTCCACCCACCAATCAGCTGTTCAGATAATAGCTAACCAATCGAATGCCCGCACTATGAAGCAACCTGAGATCAGCAATCAGGCTAAAGATGTTACCAGCTCGATGAATCAGCCTAGACTTCAACAATCTAACAAATAATTCTAACCAATTCTGACCAATCAGAAACATGGACAGGTCTACTGGCAGCAGAGCAGCCGATGACAAAACTGTAATGAAACACATAACAAAGAGCGTGAGAGATAAACTGCTTTATGAATCTGAGAAGCTGGCCTGCAGAGCAAATATCTTTCAGTGCTCAGCGTGACAGGAAACAGGCTGTATAAATAAAGTTTATTTAAAGCCTTGAAGGAAAGCTGTGTTAAAATGTGACTGATGTTAAACTGTCAGGGAGCAAAAAAATAAAAGAACAAAAATAAAACCAGAATTCAAACCAGTAACACCTGACTCATCCTACAGCTTTAAACACAGTGACCTGCAGAGGCTCACACCTCATCAGCTGTGGCCAAATTTATGCCCTCCTTCCAGCTTCACACTTTCCACAGCCATCCAAGGGGCCCAATCGCAGCTTTTGACGATCCAGCTCTGGCCCCCAGCCATGTATTTGACACCCTGATAAATGCGGTAATCAGATTCGGCTGTAATTGTATCTCATTTTGCTAATGCAGCAAATACTTTGACATAATGTAAAAATACTTTAATTGTAGAGATCCGGAGCTGTGCATCCACTCAGTCAGCTATGAAGCAAATTACCTGCCGTTTAATGTTTATTACTTCCAAGTTAAAGACGAACAGGTGAAGTCAGGTCAGTGCAGATCCACCAGGACAAAGTAAAAATGTGACATCGTCACCCACTAATGAACCATCTCCAACACACTTAAACCTGACGTCACCTCGCCAAATCCTGCGTCATATTTCTGGCCTCAGGAACTTCCTGCTTCTGTCGTGACACATTTTTGCTGCTCTCTTTGAGTGTCCGCTGAAAATCTTTGAGGTTTTGAGGGATGTAAAGTCGTCACATAGACTTTTTCTGGCAGTTTAATAACCAAACAAGTTAAGGAAATAATCAGTAATAAATAAGAGTAGCAATAACCTAACTCTTTAGCCAGTTTGATGACCTCAATCTTTTGTTTCTTTTTTCCCAAAATAAAAGCTTCTATCAGTTCAGTCTCCCGTCCCACACACACGCGCACGCACACACGTTCTTAAGCCTCTGTATAACCACTCACTTATATTTGATTTTACTCTGAATCCTCAGACCTCGTGGGGAGAGCCTGAAGAACCACCAAAAATGTCAATCACTGTGATACCAAAGACACAAACACACCCCCTACTACTGAAACACTCGCCGACAGATAGAAGAAGACAGCTCCCACTTCCTGTTTCCACCAGGAAGACAGCAGAGCGACACACTCCGCTGACGCACCGGAAACACACACACACACACACACACACACAGTCTTGCTTCTCTATCTCTGTGAGGAACTTTAGGATTCAGGGTCCCGGTCAGGGACCACCGAGGGTCCACACAAAGACAGAAGGCCTAAACTGCATCCTGCTCAATGTGAGACGTCACCAGGGCCTCATATGACCTTTGACCTGCCTCATGTAAGAACATCTTCCTCCAGATAAACGTCAGCACAGCTGCTTCCTGATGCAGCTGCTTACTGCAATTTATCGATGAACTTTTTGATGTTAATTAGCTCCACTGCTTCACTAAAGATCAGGAAATCAGTAAAGCTGCAGCTGATCTGTTTCCATCCACCTGCTTTTCACGACCATCTCCAAATTTAAAAAAGGAGCTTTTTTTACTGCCATTATATGAAGAAGAAATCTAAAAAGTAATATAAATAAATCAAACACAACAACAGGGAATTACAAGTTAGTAATCTTTCTCATAAAAGTTCCATTAAAAAAAAAAAAAAAAATAATCCAAAAAAAAAATAATAAACAGACGTTTCCGTCGTGTTTTCATCCACGTTTGATCGTCACAATTCCTGCTGTCGTTTCCGACTCTCTGCTGTGAGATTAACTACAGGAAGGTTTATATCTGAGCAACACAGCTGGACACATCCTCACTGTTAGACCACAAAAAGGGGAGCCTACATTTCCCATGATGCAACTCAGTGCCATCTTTCTAATGTTTCAAACTGCACGCTCTTCTCTGTGAAGCAGCCTTTCTGCCAGTGGCATCAAGTTTCAAACCGAAGCCGAGATATCTGAGAGCATCGCATGGATCTGCTTTATCCAGCTGTTCATCCCAGGATGTAGAGCCCAAAGGCACATATTCTACTTCTATTATTTTTTGGAGACAGAACAGACCATTATTAAAATACTGACAATAATTACAAAAAAACGTAAATAAATCATGACTATTTTGTACATTTTTGACTCTTTTTATGATTGTACATTCAGATGTACATCATCAGCTCTAAAACGTAGAGCCCAATGCAGTGGTATCTGCACATAGTGTATACAAAAAGAAAACTAAAAGTACAATTCTTAGGATAACTACACCTCTGTAAAAAATATTTTGAATCGTTTATTCTTTTACTCTCTGATTTTGGCATTACTAAAAAAAAAAAAAATAGTACTGTTAGACTTCATCTGAAAATGTCTGTTTAAAAATGAAGATTTATGAAAGCAAAATTTTGTCTAATTAATAATCAGATTCATGAAGTATGAGCTGTGATTTCTGTCAGTGAAACAAAACATTTTTTCCCCTCAAAGTAAAGTTAGGGTTTATTGAAAGAAATCAAAAACTTTGTATAAGTGGACAAAGATGTACTTCTCTGGGCTCATCACAAAAAAATACATTTTCATCAGCTCAGTTTGGTTTCGTAGGCGATGATTACTTTTTACAATATGTTAAAAAAGTAAATGAAAAATAGGTCCAACCAGAGTTATTATAATTTTGTAGTTTCATATTTTCAAATTGTATTTACTTTATTTCTCCACTTGGTTTGGTCTCAGTCAGTTTACTAGTTTCATTTTGTTTGGTAAAATGTTCTCTCTATTTGTGTTATTATTATTATTTTTCCTTTAAAATTGTTCAGTAAGGTCATACAAAATGATTAACCAAAGCAAACTGAGGCGGACTCTATAAGAAGTTTGTCCACATTTTAAAAACAAACAAACAAACAAACAAAAATTCTAGTGGATCTTCTTAAAAATTCCTTTGATTTAGAACACGTTTCGTATTCATAACATCTGAGTTTTTTTTCTTTTCTAAAGTTAAATAAAGTTGTTTTTAACCACACTGATTGTGAGTTTGTTAGACACGTGCGCTGATATTATTGATTACAGTATTGCTTATGATATTGATGATAATAAGTAGTAGTAACTGGATGGGAAAAACCGTGGGAATGCTCCATTAAGTGATAATCGATCATTAGTTAATTAGTTAACAGATACATCACTTCACAACTACTGTATGTTTCTGAGGGGTCAGAGGTCACATGCTCCACACCACCCCACCCGAGCGCTTTCACTTTTCCGGTCAGTTAGCTTGCGGCCTCGAGCTAGCCCTCCGTTCAGCCGGTGCACCGGGAAGAGGGTGATGAGGAGAAGACTCACCGATGGTGGAGATGAAGGTGGTGTTGAAGGCGTCCTCGCTGAACCGGAACAGCAGGCAGGTCTTGCCGACGCCGCTGTCCCCGATGAGCAGCAGCTTGAACAGGTAGTCGTACGTCTTCGCCATTTTCCCGCCGTCCGTCCGTCGGTCCGTCCGTGTGTCCCGGTGAGTTCACGCGGAACCTGCGGCCTGCTCCCTTTCTGCTGGGCGGACTGGCTTCACTGGGAGCGCTGGTTTCGTGCTGGTTCCACTCTGAGAGCAGCGACAAGCAGCAGGAAGCGCTCCGGCTGCAAGCAAGCCGGAATCTACCCCGCCCACATCCGGTCCCTTTTTTTCACAATAAGGCCAGCCTCTCCCAGCGTGCTCCGTTATTGATGATCGTTAGTAATTATAACATTTCACACGTATAAAGTCTGGAACAGAAACAACATCATAGGTAATAATAATAATAATAATAATAATAATAATGATAATAATAATAATAATGATAATAATA